ATGGACTCTGCTTCCAGTATATAAGAAAACAGCTTTAAGAAAGGTCTCTGAGCTTTTTGGCAGCTTGGAACCTGCTTTTGGCTGAGTCTACATTCAATAGACTGCCATGTTGTCTCTCAATCCTAGGATTGTTCCTGGACTTGAACCAGTGGCCTGCCACACTGTGTAATAATCTTGGGACTGTGCCATTTTCCTTGTTGACCTTGGGCTTGTTAGCCTCAGCAGCAGCAGCTGCCTAAGTGAAGAGATGCTTCCAGTTCCAGTAGGCTGGTAGTTAAAGGCAGAGCTGAAGTCCAAGGTAGAGTCCCTAAAGCTGGCACTGTGAACTCGGACTTCTAGCCTCCTAAACCGTAAGAGAATAAATCCTTGTTTGTTAAAGCCACCCACTTGTGGTATACCTGTTAGAGCAGCACTAGAGGTAATCAAAACGCTGTCATTTTCAGCTACTCTACCACTAACTGGTCCAGCTCACAGCCAGTGTAGCAGCTCTTTCAGTTCTTTTATCTTCTGTCTGCTGTCAAAGCTCTCTGCCTTCAGACCTCTATGTCACCAGCTATCTATCATTGGCTTCTCCACCACTAACTGTCCCACTTCACAGCCAATATAGTAGATTTAAGAACACTCAGCTTCCATGTGGCTATGCTTTTCTGCCAGTCCAGCTCTTAGCCTAGCCAGCATCTCTCTCTCAACCAGGAGGATTCAAAAAACCTCTGCATTTTAGCTATTTAAATATCCCAATTCTCATGAGTTAGAAGGAGGAGCCTCCCTCACCATACCAGAGTTAAACCAATCCTCAGTTACTCAGCAGATGAAAAGTCAATTCAGGTCTCATTAATTATCAGGCCAGGCAAAAGTGTCAAACCATCCAATTGTTTACAACTTACCCAGAACATGTCAATCAACCTGGGCAAAAGCAGAAAACACTCCCAGACAGAAAACAGCCAGAGAGCCTTCACACCAAGCAGCTTTGCCAAAGAATAAGGGCAAAGGTAACTCCTCAGTGTTTAGGGATAAAATAACCTCCTAGACTGTTTTTGTCCATAGAACCAAGGCAAAACACACTCATTGCACCATAAGTACTCTGACTGTTGTTCCTTCCAAAGGTTTTTGAGTTCAATTTTCAAGCTAATGAATTGATATCTGTTTCATCTGCAAGGCTGTGTCATATACATATCTCAGGTTGTAAATGAGTCTTCCTCCAATCCTGATGCCACATTCTTCTTCGTATAGTCTAGCTTTTCAAATTATCTGCACAGCATACATACTGAGTAAACACAGGGAAAGGACACATCCCTGACACACTTCCTTCCTGATTTAAACCATGCAGTATCCCCTTGTTCTATTCCAACAACTGCCTCTTGGTCTATGTACAGGTTTCTCATGAGTACAATTAAGTATTCTGGAATTCCCATTCTTCTCAATGTTATCCACAATTTGTAATGACCCATACAGTTGAATGCCTTTGCACAGTCAATAAAACACAGGAAAACACCTCTCTGGTCCTCTCTGCTTTCAGCCAAGATCCATCTGACAACAGCAATGATATGCCTTCATTCTAGGTCCTCTCTAAATCTGGCTTGAATTTCTGGCAGCCCCCTATCAATGTACTGCTATAACCATTTTTTAATTATCTTCAGCCAAATTTTATTTGCACATGATATTAATGATATTGTTCAATAATTTCCACTCTGTTGGATTAACTTTCTTTAGAATGGGCACAAATACAGACCTCTTCCAGTCAGCTGACCAAGTCGCTGTCTTCCAAATTTTTTGGTATAAATGAGTGAGTGTCTCTAGTGCTGCATCTATTTGTTGAAACATCTCAGTGGGTATTCCATCATAACCTGTGGCCTAGCTTTTCGTCAGCTCCTTCAGTGCAGCTTGGATTGCTTTCAATGCTTTTAGTTTCTTGATCTTATGCTACCTCCTGAAATGGCTGAACACTGACCAATTCTTTTTGATACAATGACTCAGTATTTTCCTTCATCTTCTTCTGCTGCTTCCTCCATCGTTCAATATTTTGCCCAAAGAATCCTTCAATGTTGCAACTAGAGGCTTGAATTTTTTCTTCAGTTCTTACAGCTTAAGAAATGCCTAATATTCTTATTTCTAACTTTTTAATGTTCTAAACTTTTGAATTTCTAACTCCAGGTCTTTGCACATTTCATCATAACACTTTACTTTAGCCTCTCCAGCTGTCCTTTAAAATCTTCTGTTCAGCTCTTTTACTTCATCACTTCTTCCATTCACTTTAACTACTCTCCATTCAAAAATAAAGGTTCAGATTCTCTTCTCACATCCATTTTGGTCTTTTCTTTCTTCCCTGTCTTTTTAAATACCTTTTGTTTCTTCGAGTATGATGTCATCCTACAACTCAACTAGTTGTGGTCATTGTTGTTCAATGCATCAAATCTATTCCTCGGATGGTCTTTAAATTCAGGTGGGAAATATCCAAGGTTGTATTTTCATTCTTGTGGACTTGTTTTAATTTTCTACAGCTCAAATTAAATTTTGCATATGATCAATTGATAGTCTGTTCCACAGTCGGCCCCCTAGTCTTATTTGAACTGATGACAGAGTCTATGAATCATCTCTTTCCACAGATGCAGTTGATGTGATTCCTGTGTATTCTAAGTAGAGGTCCACGTGTATAATCACTATGTATGTTGTTGAAAAACAGGTATTAGCAATGAATAAATCGTTGGTCTTGCTAAATTCTATCATGTGATCTTCGGTGTCATTTCTATCACCGAGGCCTTCTTTTCCAACACCAATGCTACTAATTTCTTTCCAATTTTCTTATTCCAATCACCAGTAAGTATCAATGTATCTTGATTGCATGTTTGGTCAATTTCAGAGTGGGAAAGTTGGTAAAAATCTTTAATTTCTCATCTTTGGCTTTAGTGATTGGTATGAAAATTTTTACAATAATAATATAATAGTGTTAACTAGACTTCCTTATAGGGTGTCCACTGTACTTCAGGATAAATCTTGAAATGTTCTTTTTGGCAATGAATGTGACACTATACCTCTTCAATTTATCATTCCTGGCACAGTAAGATCATATGATTGTCTGATTCAAAATGGCCAATACCAGTCCAGTTCAGCCTAAGATAACCAACTTTATGCATTCCATTTCATTTTTGATAACTTCCAATTTTCCTACATTCATATTTGTAAATTTCATGTTCTGATTGTTAATGGATATTTTCAGCTGTTTCTTCTTATTTTGAGTCATACAGCATAAGCAAATGAAGTTCCCCAAACTCCATCTACATCATTAAGGTCACCTCTACCTTGAAGAGGCAGCTCTTCCCCAGTTGTATGTTGAGGGCCTTCCAAACTGAGGGCATATGACACAACCTTACTCACCGAAAGTGAAGATAACTTGAAGCACTTCCTGATGAAGATCAACCTTCAATACAGATTACACCTCAACATAAAGAAATAAAAAAATCCCCACCATTGGACCAATAAGCAATATCAAGATAAATGGATAGAAGACTGACATTGTCAAGGATTTCATTTTACTTAGATCCACAATCAGTGCCTGTGGAAGCAGCAGTCAAGAAATCAGAAGGCATACTGCATTGGGCAAATCTGCTGCAAAGGACCTCTTTAAAGTGTTAAAACAGAAATATGTCAATTTGAAGACTTAGGCTTGCCTGACTCAAGTCATTGTCTTTTCAATAGCTTCATATGCATATGAAAGCTAGACCACAAAGACGACCAAAGAAGAAATGATGCCTCGGAAATGTGATATTAGCAAAGAATATTGGGTATACCATGGATGCCAGAAGAACTAAAACATCTGTCTTGGAAGACTTAAGGCCAGGATGTTCCTAAAATGTAAGAGGAGAGACTTCCTCTTATATACTTCAAACATGTTGTAAGGAGGGACCAGTACCTGGAGAAAAACATCACGCCTGATAAAGTTTAGAATCAACGAAAAAGAGGAAGACCTTCTATATGAGCAGCATTTCATTTTGTTGTATCTAGGGTTGCTGTGAGTCCAAACAGTCTTGAACGCCCCTAACAACATCAATGATAAATTCTGGCAGGAAAAGTTAAGTATCTTAGAAAATATCCCAAAGCCAAAAGGACAGAGCAGGAAAACAACCACAATGCTCTGTTCTAGAATTCATGGTAACTTTCCTTTTAGAGTATACTGCTTTGCCCACAGTCAGGAAGTAAGCAATTATTGGGAGTGGTATGAGGAAATGAGCTCTTTCATCTCCTGGAGACAAAACTGCTTTATTTGAAAAGCAATTTGGAGTAGTTATCAACACTCTTCATAATTTTTAAACCAAAACTTGCACTTCTAGGTATTTATACTGAAGAAATGGACACCTATATAGGCAAAGATATTTACTGAAATTTTATAATAGCAAAACACTAGAAACAGTCTATTAAAAAAATAATAATTATGACATATTGTTGCTGTCAAATACTATGCAGGATTTAAAAAATGTGCAATGATATGGTATGGAATGGTCTTCAAACCATTTTGCTAATTGGGGGAGGGGGACTCCCAGTCATTTAGTATGCCCCATTTTAAGTATCAACCAACAAAAATAAATAGAAGGTAACCTTCAATATATTTATATGTATATGCATATATATTTAAATGATTTTTTTCAATCAGACAGAATATGTAGCAAACATGATTACCTTCAGAAAGAGGAAGAAAAGCCAAAAAGATCATTTTTCACTCAGTATAATCCTATACTATTTAAAGTTTTTTTAAAAACCATAATATGGATGGCCATGAAACAAAAACCATATAAAAAACAGAGAAGCAATCAAGCTTCAAGTTTCCACCATCTAGAACCAACCTAAAAAGGAGAAGACGTAGGAATTACATATGTTTGTCCAGAATAGTGCTGTATCAATTCAAGTGAAGTCAAGACAATTGGACAATAAAATGTTATTCATATTCCAATGACAAGTTCAATTATGATATACTGTAAGCACTAATAAAACAAAACAGTAAACTTTACCTTTCTTGAAGTAGAAATGTCAAAAAATGGCTTATTTCTGACACTAAATGGTTCTTGTGTTTTGTCAATGAGACCAGTCTTCATTTTTTCATGTCGAGGATTTATTATTTCTCGTTCTATACATTGCAGACGTGTATTAAAATCACAATCTCCAACTGGCTGTGCCTGAATTAAGAAAGACAATACTGAATCTGTAATTATTTCCTTCTTATTAAAAAGTGGTGCAAAAATGGTAAGAGCTGACATATCTGGGTAGTTAGTGCATTAGTATTCCTTATATTATTCTCTACACTTTCGTATATACTTAAATTTTTCTTATCTTTTTTCAAAGTTAGAAGTCTGCTGTCTAAGGCAGACTAAGAAGTGAACCTGTACTTAATACATACTAAAGTAGGAGCTCAATATCAAGAGGCAAAGGAGACAGCACTTCCCCACTCACAAAGAAACAAAGCCACACCCACCCCTTATTTCTCTTTATAAGCCAATGAACATTATTCTAAGATCCTACATCTTAGATCTAAGAATTAAGCCAATTTTGAGAAACATTATTTCTGAGGAATTCAGAATCATCTTTTCTGTCCCTGAGGTCCTTAAGTTTGAAGCTCTATGCTTTAGATACAGAAATTAATTTTTTTTAAAAAAATGAGTTATGTACTGCACTGAAATTGGGGGTGGGAGGGGCACGATGCCTTTAAGTACCCTGGACTAAGGCAATCCTGAATACAGCAACTTATCAAAATAAAATACATCCCAAAAATAACTTTGAAAACATTTTCTTACAAGTCTAAAAACCTTAAAACAAAAAGAAGGAAAAAATTAATTCTAGAATTCTTAATGCTTTTCAATCTAACTTGAATACTAAATGATTATACAATTTGAATAATACACATCCAGAGGAATGATTATACCTCTTCATAGATGTACACTATTGAAAGAGTTTCTTGTATTTACAGAAGTCATCTTGTACTGCCTATATAATTTAGACATTCACATTATAATTAAACATGAACAGACAAACAAATTCTTGGCTAGTATAAAGCTATAGGAAATGGGTAAAGAATATAAATCCATTTTTCAATATCTATTTACAGGGGACTTTTGGATTTTGATTTTAATTTTCCTGCTTGTATTCATATTTTTCCTTCAAGTTACAAACTCGACATTTTATGATCAGTTTCTCTTTTTTAAATGACAGATGAATAAAATTTGGAGGCTTTTTTTATAAAGTATAGGATAGTCAAAAACAACAAGAGTCTAATTTTACAAAATGCTGTTTTATTTTACCACAATTAAGCTAGTGTTCTTTACTTATCAGAAGGTATATGAAACAAGAGACAAAGAAATGTGCAAAATATTAGACAATAAGATAAAGAAAAGGAGATTTTATATTAACACAAATACGGCAACCTCATGTGTGTCAGAGCAGAACTGTGTTCCATAGGGTTTCCAAATTGCTGATTTTTTCAGAAGTAGTTTGTCAGACCTTTCTTGCAAACCTCTAACCTTTTGGTTAGCAGCCAGGGTTTGCACCATTCAAGGGGTCCAGATCACATCAGTGGAAATCAACTCCATGGCAACAAGTTTAATATGAAGATTTCAACTGAGTAACCGGAAAGGGTCACAATTTCTTTTCTACTATCTCTGACACAGTAACTAGTGCTGTTTATTTGTTTAAAATTTATCTATTATTTTAAAATTTTGTATTTAAGAGCTTTAAAATCATATTAACTCTACAACATCCCTGAAAACAGACATATGGTATTTTTACTGCCATTTTAAATAGGAGGAAATCACAAATGTTAAGTTTTTGATGAAAGAGCACAGGTGCCCTCACCATAAGACAAAACAATATAATGTCAATTGCTAGACATCAAAAGAAAAATTGTAGATTGCTTTCTTTGTCAAAACATTTTTTTATTTTTTTGAAGACCAAATGTAATTTCTCTATCAATGTTTTTAGATTTCTCAGTATGGTAATTGAAAGTTTTTATTTTTTTCTTTTCAACTCTATTAGTATTGTTAGAACAATTTAAAACTAAAAGTGTTTTACAATTTATAAAAGGTACTTACATTGAATTTAATTATGTCGTATATCAAATATCTAGGAACAGCCAGTCCATTTACTTTGTCAACAATCATTTCCTTGAAACAGAAAAAAGGACAAGTTTCTTCATACTTTAATTTTGTTAATTTTATCTCAACAGAACATATACAGAGGAAGCATATAAATCATAAATACACAACTTGATAAAATTTCACAAAGTGAACACAGTTGTATCCAATCAAATCAATAAAATGTCAACAGCCCAAAGTCTTTATCATGCATTTATTCTATACCGAAATAAAATTCATATAATATATCCTCATTGTATTGTTTACATTTAAATTAGTATCTTAAATTTTGTTTTATATTTGAATTACTAAGTAACTATCAGAGTGAAGAGTCTACAAATTTTAAATTGCAAAAGTTAGAGTTGTTCTTTCTAATAATTTTAATCACTAGTGCATTAAATTTTGTCATAGGCTAATTACTTTAATCCTAAAATCTACAGATATAAAATCATAGCCTTATTACAAATTTAATTCCTGTGTGAGCCACATGGTCTTTCTTGGTTCCAGGTTCCTCTACTGGACTTTGATTAAAAGGACCATAACAAGAAAGTGTGAAAAGATGAATGCAAATCTATCAAAGCTACTAAGAAGTCAAACAAAATAATCTGTGCTTTGGCAAAAAAGAGATAAAGAACAATAAAGGATTATAGTAAGTATATATGCAGTATTTTATAATCCTTTCATTCTTAAAAATAAGTTTTGACCTAAAAATATTTTTCTTTCTTCATACTCTTCTAAGAAACTAGACATGTTTTGACTATTTAAATTCAAGACAGGAAATTCACACACAACTACCTAAAGAGACAAAAACACACTGAAAGAGAGCAAAATATATTTTGTTGTTGTAAGAAATCATTACCAATTAATGTCTTTCCTGAACATGAGTTTCTTAAGTTACAGACATTATTATGGTTATCTTTAGCCCAATTTACCTGGTATAAATTAAATCATTTTCCTTAAATTGTTTTCAAACTTATCAAGTTTATTTAAACACTTGTATCTGAGCATTTTACAAGCCAACAAGGTAGTAAACGTAACAAATTTCAATTAATTATTCTTTTTTAAAAAATATATGATTGGAAGACTTTCAGATTCATATAGCAGAATTTCCTACTCAAATTACCTGATGAAATGAGTAAAAACCTTTTTTTTTCCTTTAAACACTTTTAAAAAAAGAAAAAAAAATTATAACCAACAAATAAACCAAACAAAAAGAAATAACCACACAAGTAAACTTTAAAAACTGACATCCAATGAAACTGCCAAACATCCTGGTAAAACAAAAAAGCACAGCCAGGTTCAGCTCCAAGCTCACTAAATCCCCAGAATCCCAACAGGAAAAAATGACAAATTCCTAATAACTTTCACTATTACACTCAAACACAAGTAGAAGCAAATTCAGTGGCTATCCCTGTCTCTCCTTATCCCCCTTTCTTTTGACTAAGGAGTAATAAGGATAGTTGAACACTCTTCCTGCCTGAAATGAAAGCTCCAGGAAAAAATGGTAAACTGGAGAAACAATCAGAAACATTTTTAGAGCAAAATATATCCCCCAACTAGTTGAAAAAGACATTCATCAAAAGTTCTTAAGAGGGAACCACACCGAGATTCTAAGAAAAACCCAAAACCTCAGTGAGCTCTTCCCTATGACCTTTCTACTATAATGTCCACTTCCCTACAGCTGTCACCACTGCCAAAAAACAAACCCAACTGAATGAAGCCAAATCCACTACTAACTATTCAATTCCTTCTCACTAAGACCCCTGTAGGATGGAGCAGAACTGTCCATAGGGTTTCCAAGGCTGTAATCTTTACAGCAGCAGTCTGCCACATCTTTCTCCTGCACAGCAGCTGGTGGGTTCAAATCACCAAACTTGTGGTTAGCTATTAAGCACTTAAACAATGCACCAAGAGGGCTTTTCTATAGCCATGGGCTACAAAAAAGATGATAAACATAAAATAACCAAAACAAACTCACTGCTGTCAAGTTGATTCTGACTCACAGCGCGTCTACTGAACAGAATAGAATTGCCCCACAGAGTTTCCAAGGCTGTAGATCTTTATAAAGCAGACTGCCACATCTTTCTCTCAAGGAGAAGCTAGTGGGTATAAACCACTGATCCTCTCATCAGCAGCCAAGTACCTTAACCACTATGCCACCAGGGTTCCCTAAACATAAAATATCTAATCTTAAAATTTAGTTAAGAAAGGAAAACAGATACCTCTTCCAACCAAGATTCAATGACAGTGACTGAATTTACTCTCCTATACAAAACAATCAAAGAAATGGACAATACATGAAATAATGATTTTCAAGACACTGGACATCAAGCAACAAAGAACAGTGATAACCAAGAGACAGGAACCAAATGAGATGAGCTCTACAATGTCCTGCTCATTGCCTGAAGAGACGTTCTAGGCAGCATATGCAAGCGATCCCAGAGGAAATCAACAGTCTCTGTGAGTTGAGAAAATGGAACAGGTTGTCTATGGGGACCAAGTTGGCTAGAATTATTAGGGCAGAATACCAGGAAGAAAAGTGCTGCATAGAGAAAGAACAGAAACATGCAGATGAACACCTTTCAGTATTCATCAGAGCACCCATCAGTGAGTGTATACATGTGAAGAAATGATCCAAGGCCAGGCAAAGAATCACCAAAAGTCTTAGAGGAAACAGTATCTGGCACTGACATAGGGTTGGGAATAATGCCTATTGCCACCAAAAGGATTATAAAACCTTATAATTCACAAAGGCACTGGGTATAGTATTCAGAAAGACTGTGCCTCCAGAGTGCAGAATAATTATCCCTAAAGATGCTCTAGTCCACATAACAAATCTTAAAGCAAGAACCAAAAGGATCAAACTGATTCCAAGTAAATTAACTGCATCCAGGATAAAGTCTAAGAATATTTATGGAATACAAAAATATCCAGTTGCCAAAAAGGAAAAATTCAAAATGTTTCGCATCTAATCAAAAATTACCAGGTATGCAAAGAAGCAAGAAAATATGACCCATAATGAGGAGAAAGCTCAATCAAAGATAGAATTGATAAAGATGTTAGATATAATATGCAAGAATATTAAGATCGTTTATTACCATAATACTCCATACACAGTCCACAACTTACGACATATTCAAGCTATGATGAAACACACACACAACCATCAGTTTGTTTTTTGAGGGGTACATCTCATCACTAGTAATATGTACTATATATAATCTTGCATCACCACATTATTTGCTGATGTTATCATTCTCAGATGTTCACTTGCCAATGTTCAATGTTTTATGATTTATAAAATTATTGATGATAAAAGGCAATAATAATGAGAAAAAAAATGAGGTCAACATCAACTCATGATGGACTCATCAGAACAGAAACCTGTCATAAATTGAGGACTACTTGGATTCACAAAGTTAAATAGAGAGATCAAAGAGGTAAGAAAGATCCAAAATTAACTTCCAGAGATGAAAACTACAATGTCTGAGATGACAAATACAGTGGCTGGAATTAACAGTAGTTTAAAATTCACAGAAAAAATGACTAGTTAACTTAAGGATATAGCAATAGAAATTATCTAAAATTATTCATGAGAATAAAGTTTTGTTTTGTAATGGAAAAAGCATTATAACTTAGTCTCAACAAGGGACAAGGATAGAAATAATGGCAAAATATTTTCCATTTCTGAAGAAACTATAAATATACAGACACAAGAAGTTCAATAAACCCCAAGTACAATAAACATGAAGGGAAATTCACCAAGGCCTATCACAGTTTATCATGTTGCTCAAGAACATGATAGAACTCATTCCCTTGTTTTTTGATCCTTAATGTTGCTATGGAAAAATCTTGAAGACTGAAATCCTCCCTTGTGGCACCTTCCAAAAAAAATTCATTTCTACATGTTTGACTTTCCTATCATTTACCCTTTTCTAAATTCCATCCCTTTTAGTTAGAATCTCCAGGAACTTACCTTACCCATCCAATATTTATTGAGGCCAAACTATTTATAAGGGTTATCTATAAGTGCTAGAGAAACAGACAATACAATCCTTACCTTAGCTACATATGTTTCATACTCTCTTTCTGGAACTCCAGTCCCTTTAAGGTTGCAGATTCCAACTAAAGATAGTATTACAAAGACATCAAAAATATGGTTTTCTGACAAATTATTCAAAGCTTCACAAAGATGGGAATTGTAGTTCAAGGGAAGGAATCAAAACCAATGATGAGAATAAAGACATAGGCACAGTCCAGATGATTAAAAAAAATACTATGTTACAAACTTTGGTTTTTATGCTATGAACAGTGTAAAATCATTTTTAAAATATCCTTCCTCTCATTACATGTTCTTTGCAAAATCTGTATGCAAAGCTCATCTCAAAAATAACTCATGCCATGAATCTTTCACACAAGACCCACTTGGTTCTAATTATCATAGTACAGTTGTTGTTGCTGTTGTTAGGTACCACTGGGTCAGTTTGGACTGATATCAATCCTAGGTATGACAGAACAAAACGCTGCCCAATCCTAAGTCATTCTTGAAATTGTTGCTATGTTAAAGGCCATGGTTGAAAGCACTGTGTCAACTCTTCTCATTGAGGATCTTCCTCTTTTCCGCTGACCCCTCTACTTCACCAAGCACAATGTCCTTCTACAGGACTGGTGCCTCCCGATAACATGTTCAAAGTACATGGGCTGAAATCTCACCACCCTCGCTTCTAAGGAACATTAAGGCTGTACTTCTAAGACAGATTCGTTCCTTCTTCTGGCAGTTCACGGTATTACAAAATATTCTTCACCAATACCATAATTCAAAAGCATCATTCTTCTTCATTCTACTTTATTCACTGACCAGCTTTCACATGCATATGAGGCATATGAAAATACCCTGACTTGGATAAGGCACACCTTAATTTTCAAAGTGACATCTTTGTTTTTTAACACTTTAAAGAAGTCATTTGCAGATTTTTTCAATGCACTACATAGTTTGGTTTCTTGATTGCTGCTTCCATTAGCGCTGATTG